GATACTTGAATTGAGGTTATAGGTAAAGAGTATTTTGGTGCATTAAAGTGCAGACATGTCTGCCGTTATGAAACTACAATATAACATCTTATTTATTTGGGGCCATATTGTTTGAGTAGAGTGCCTATGGGTGCTCAGTCTCCCCTGGCTAGAGATGGAGCAATTAGCAGTCCATTTACGGATACTTTACTTCTTTAAAAATTTGTTCTTAGCTTGTTTTAGTGTTTTTCTTTTTAATCTCATAGTTTCCATTCATTTTTTCTCTTCCCCTTTTTTGAAAAACTAAAAGAAAAGCCTTAAAAATGTTTGCTTTACCCCTTCACACCCCCCCTCCCTCATGACTGGGGATTGTCCCCAGCAAGGGGCATGCCGGGTTCTCCTGGGTTTGAGGTGCCTCTCCTGTAAGAAGTCCATTCTGGTAACAGATGGTCTTTCCCTCGGGGAGGACCACGTTCCACAGAAGTGTACCTTCTGTCAGCAGCTGAAAACCAGATCCTGAAAAAAATGGGAATTGAAAGTGTAGCTGCTCCTCATGGAGGGAGCTCTTCAGCCTGTGACTGACCCATGCCTAAAGTCTCCCAGGTGACATCAGTCTTCTCTGCAGCCTTCTACTCCAAGACTGGTGAACTGAGAGAAATCCTCGGATTCTCCACATAAGACCAAAAAGAGAGCTGTCAGCCCCAAACCAGCCAGAGGAAATTTCTGACACATTCAGTCTCCCTATGGCACTGAAGGTGCCTAAGCATGGTAGCCACAGACTGCGTGGGTCTGGTGCGACATATACTGCTGGTATGCCTAGTGACCCTATGGGCACAGGCACTGAAGCAGCAGTACCACCGGTCAGGGACAGAAGTGGAGACCATGTCACCTCAAGGCAGACGGTGTCGGTACGGACGTTCACATCACTAACGACTGTGAGCAACCATCACTGGACTGCTCTGTGAAGCCAAAGTCTCCAACTCCCTCGGTGCCGCTGATTCAATATTAGCAATCACTGACGGTACCGACTACTGTGGCACCACAGGAATTTAGCTTCTCATGGTGTCTGAGGTACCAGAGCCTCTTCTAATCGGTACTGGGGCCCTGGTACCAGACACATCTTAAGCCCAAGAATCACCACCAGCACCGAGCCTTGAACCTCCGCTCTCTGTATTGGCTCCACCATTTTCCAGTGACCAGGAGGGGGTCCTCTTCCATCACTCTCATCATGCTTCCTCTTGCTATCAACCCGGGACTGCCCAGTCATACTCTCGTTCTGGACAACCCCAGTGGTATGACCAATCAGGGGATCAACCACCCATGCTTTTTCCACTGCCCACTGGCCTTATTAGGATCCGTGGGCAGCCTGTAGGTACCATGCCTCCTGGGCATCTAGTGTGACCCACTGGGAAACTGCGAGGCATTCCCCCTCAGCCACCATCTCTAGTGCCTAAGAACCTCCTGAGGAGATCTTGGAGGAGCCAGGAGGTCAGACTAGAGGAGAGGGTTACACCACTTACTAACATCTCTTCTTCCTCTCCAGATAAGGCAGTAATGTCCCCTCCACTGTCTATGGCAGATGATTTTAAAGTCTTCCAAGACCTGACTAAGGATGGCAGATACCTTACAAGTATCTCTTGAGAAGGTTAAAAGACACTCACCATAAGCTTCTGGATATCCTACATACATCCTCCTCCTCCTCCAGGATAGCCCTCCCCATCAACAAGGCACTTTTGGATCCAGCTAAGTTTATATGGCAAACGCCAGCATTGGCCACACCAACATGCAAACAGGCTGATAAAAATATAGTATGTATCTCCCCAAGGATGCGGAATTTTTTTTTTCACACCCTCTGCCTAATTCCATTGTAATAGATGCAGTATTATCATCCATAACAGTCTCAACTCTGAAGCCCCAACCTCTCATTAGGGATACTGCTCGGGAGTTTCCTACAGTGGAGCACCCATAGGGACACTATTCAAAGAAGAAGAGAAAGTTACTCACCTTGTGCAGTAATTATGGTTCTTTGAGATGTGTCCCTCTGTGGGTGCTCCACAACCTGCCCTACTGCCCTCTACTTTGGAGTTTTTGATAGGGACTCTGCGGTAGACAAGGAACTGAGAGTGGTTTGCCCACGCAATGCTAATTAGCCTCGAGGCAGAGCATGAGGTGGAGAGAGGGCGCGAGAGGGTTGAATGGACACTGCTATCACGATCTCCTATCCGAAGCGCAGGGATCCACATACGCCTACAGTGAAGCACACGTAGGGGGACACATCTCGAATAACTATCGTTACTGCACAAGATGAGTAACTTCCTCTTCTACCACTTTGACTCTCCTCACAGTGAATAGTATCTTATTCCTCAAATAGCCCTGTTGTAGAAACTCAGTGTGAGCAAGGGAGGCAGAATTTGGTCCATAAGAAACGAAGTAAAGGGAGATTAGAAAATGTGCTAAATCGTCTTTCATATCTGCAATGATATATTATTGAAATGGCTTCTTTGTTTTGACATACGTTTGGTATTATGAAGTTTTGACTGATCCAGGCAACAACCATCCTGTTGGAAGCACTTTGGGATGAAAAGATTTAACTTTCTAAAATAATCTAATCAAAGGTTGGATAGAGAGGGAGCCAAAAGTAGAGGCTGAGATAACCAACAAGACTTGCAGAATAATGAGTGCCCATGACTTCTGTGTTTTCCTGAGAATCCTGGTGCTAAAATCATTGTTCTTTACAAGTTCTCATGATTATATTGGATGCTTGGAGTGTGCTTGTCAGATGTTACAGCTACTCTGTTTAGTTTGAACCAAGAAGTACTAATAAAGTTTTGTTGTAGATGCAGAGTATCTGTTGCCAGGTAGTAGTAGACTATGGTACTGCACTTCATGCCAGGGAAGAAATTTCCATGTCTTATTTTTATGTGGAAGGAAGAATTGAGGAGAGATAAAAGTTCTTTAATAAGTTCCTTCTCACTCTTCAGCTCTTAAACATACGGGATCTGTATGTAAATAGACAAGGGCTCAGTATTACTACTTATTTTATAGCTGCACATTTCAACATGTAATGTGGCTGATGTGTTAAAAATTTGCTTCCAAGTTATGTGTGTATCATGCAGTCATGCAGTGAAGCTGCTGTTTTGTGTGGAAAGTTTTGTTGCAGTGTTAGTGTAAGCATGAGATGTTAAGCAGAGTCCCCAGTCAGAATCCTGGATGCTTCAGTTCTGCCTGAGTGTGGCTTGGACTTCCAACCTCAGGGTGTTGGGAGAACAGAAGAGATGTTAGTCACTTTTTAAAAATAAATAGGATCCTACTTGCCTTACATAATAGGGTAGAAATTGGCTAGCCTAATGATCCATTTCCCCTCTTTTATTCCACGTGTTCTCTGATTTCCCCTGGTTTTTCTTTGAATCAGTAGGGTTCTTGGGATTAAGAAGGCTGCTGGTGGTCTAGCCTGTGATTTGCAGATGATGCTGTTAAGAGTAAGGTTAGTTTGGTATTAGACTGAGGAGATCCATAATGTTTGGCCCTGACCTGGCATTTATTACAGATACCTGATTCAGAGAGAGATTTGGCCTCGTCCTAGTAAGTGGATACTCTTATTTTATGCCAGATCACATTAGAGATAGGATAGGGGATGCTGCACCTTACTTCAGTTCTTCCAATACATTGAGGTTCTTCCGTTGAAGCAGTTTAATCACGAGTGCTGTGAACAATTTACTTTCTTTACCAAGAAGTTCTGTTGAATCAAAGTTAGGCTGACAACAAATATCTTTGTGCTGTAAAGCTCCCTCTTTGGTTTTACCAGTATTTCACCTGAATCTTTGATTTCCTATTTGTGTCTTTTTCTTTTCAAACCTACCACCACAACTGCTTCTGTAACTATTCCTGTTCTTGTCAATACTGTGCATTTTGAGGTAGGGTTATGTACAGGGCATTGTTGGGCTGAATTATAAAGATCATAGAAGAAAATTCACTTGACAAGGCATCTGTAATAATTCCTAAAAAATCCTTTCTTTTAATCCATAACACTTCCTTCTGAAAGCATGTGTTACTCAGCATTTAGCTTTGGAAAAAGAAGACACTAACATAAACATTTAATGTAAATATTTTGATGAGTAAAAACTTAAAAGGCTGTATGTCAATTTGTAAACAGAAGAGGAAATGATATCCTTACTGTTAGATACCATACTATGATGTGGCTGTAGCTGCTTCATAGAAATTAAAGGTGGTTAAGACTTATTAAATTAATCCCCTTTCTAACATAGGATTGATCTCTACAGTACATTTACTACAACTTGGGCTACTCTAGTTTTGTCCCTAGTAGTTGAGCTTTCACGTCTGCTCTTCAGTGGCCATTCCACTCTCTAATACAGAGCCGTAACTAGCTCCTCTGGCAGCGCCGCCCCCCC